TGTCGGAGCCAGAGGTGGGATAACCTCTTGGGAGTCGGCAAGGAGGAGGTGACAGAAGGGAAGTAGGACTCCAGAAGTCAGGTTCAGAGTTCCGGGAGCCCGGAGTGGAGGTCGGGATTGTATGGATATGACACTCATTCAATTTGGAACAACTTCATGCTTTTTGTTTGGTAGCCATTCATGCTGCATCATCCCCATCCACTCATGAGCCTTTATATATGTACCTTGGAGGTGCCAGTGGAACTGGGAAATCACAGGTTATCAAAGCGTTGACTGCATTTTTTACACTGATGGGTTCGGCTCGCAAATTTCGGCTTTGTGCTTATACTGGTGCTGTGGCAAGAAATATCCAAGGATGTACATTGCATTCCGCCCTCCATCTGGCCCAACTGAGTTTAATGCTAAAATTCAATGGCTCCCAGTCTCAAACTGACCTCATGCAAGCCTGGCAGGGTGTCCAATACTTATCCATCAATGAGGTGTCTGTGATCAGTTGTGAACTGCTCACTGATGTGAGTTTGGCTCTTTCGCTGGCAAAGGAGAACACTCATGCATTTGGAGGCATCAATGTCATTTTCATTGGAGATTTTTGCCAATTGCCACCAATTGGAAGCACATGTTACAAGAGAGCTAGCGGCTCTCAGTGCCAACCAAGCTCGTGGGGGAAACTCTCCACAAAAACTCTTTTCTCCACTGGCCTCAATCCTAAAACTCCAGGAAATTCTCCGGAAATTCCGCAAGGTCCGGACTCAGTGTCCACTACCCACTCTTTGTGGGCTAGATGACTGCCCTTACTCCTACTGTAGGAATTCCTAACACACTCACACTAACTCTGATGCATCCTAGTGCCTTAGAAAAAATTAGAGGAGGGGAGAACTTGATTTTTCAATCCCAGTATGTACAGGAATATATAGAATATTTGAAAAGGGCATCAGAAGAATAAAAGAATATCATCCAATATATCAAAATGATGGTAAAAATGTGAAAATATGAGGAAAATCGGGAATTTATCAATGATTTCACAAAATTAGTACCCAAAACTGGAAATGTGACTGGGAATAACCTTTACGTGGCTAAAGAACATTTTTCCCAATCTATTTGATGCCTTGGGAATGTGTGAAGCATGCTTTTCTGACTTGCCACTTGCCTAAATTGAACTTCCCACACCTGCACATGACCAGATCCCATGACCTGTGCCGTGGCTAACCTCCCCAACACTTAACTTGCTATGGAAATGGGATTTTCCCATTCCTAGCCTCTTATGGGCTCTATGCAGTGCAATATCACGTGACATGTATATAATAACAACTTAACCAACAACAATCACCAAAATCCACACTTTGTTACAGTGGTTTTGTGAGAAAGTGGCAGTTGAAAAGTGAAAGGGTATTGAACCCTTTTGTAAAAAATTGATTGACAAAATGGGTAAATATTCGGAATTTTTATTTTCAATTCAAAAGATGTCAGTATTGCAAAATAAGCGCCCTATGGCCATTCCCCATTGATGATATATTGACGATGACTGCACTGCTGGACCAGCTCTCTGGCGCATGTCAAGCTGCTCAGCTCTTCAACCACCATCACTGTTTCATGGGTACTAGCCACACCACACCGGACACAAAGTGGCTCATCACCCTGATATCTGAAACCCTCGCTCCCAAGGAGATCACACAGGCTACCCTCATCAGTGAACACACGGTTCACCGGATTCTTTCACCTCGCAGGCAAGGTATCCCTTTGACAAAGTCAGCAACTGCAGCGCAGTCACAAACTGAATAACTGGGTTCTGGACTACTGTACCCGCATGACCAATTACCGGTCACGCATCACACTGACATTCCAGTTGAATGATCCTTGTCACACCATTTTTTTTGGCACCTAAGTGGCTGTGTGAAATCGGATCAAATTCAATGAAAACAAAAGCTGTCTGCAAGGAAGTAGTTTTTTTGGTGTAAAATGTATCAACACGAAAATTTGCCAGTTGGACATTTCCAGCACCACTGTGGCTGGTGTCACACCAACCTTGCCACCTCTTCCGGTTGCTTGTCACACGTCACAAGGAGAAGCCGGTTGACTATTTTGTGTCACACTCGGGACCTCAGCCGGTAATTGGTCGTGCGGGTACAGTATACTTAATAGAGGCTGGTAACCTGCCAAGGTCTGGAGGTGATTTTCATGGAACACTACAGTATTTACTTGCAATTCCCTTGTGAGCTACTTGCCACATACCCTACTGCATCACCCCAATGCCTTGAGACCAATTTGCTCATTCTACAACCCAGACCAGCGAACTGGACCTGCGAATTTAATCATTGGCATCCGAGTCTCAGAAGCCACAATTGCAGTCTTCGAAGACACTGGAGTGATGGGGGTGTTTTGACTTGGACCATTGTTCTCGACCTCCCACTTGCACTGCTTTTCAAGTTCTCCAGACGGCCCTTCAGATCATGAACTGATTCATGCCTCAGCGCACTATTACCATTGAAAGTCCATTTCTTATGTCTCTCAGAAGGCATGGCCATCTGAGGTATCAACTTTAGGACAGCAATCCCGTTTAATTTGTATGTCACCCCAAACCTCATGTCTAGCACTGATGTGCGACAGTATCCAGAAATGCAGAATGGCATGTATTCTACTGTATTGGCATATAATTTTTTGAATTGGGAATAAAAAATTCCCAATATTTACCCATTTTGTCAATCAATTTTTTACAAAAGGGTTCAATACCCTTTCACTTTTTGACTGCCACTTTCTCACAAAACTACTGTAATGTCATTGTAAAGACAACTGTTAAACCTCTGTTACATTAACTGTAACACTATTTCGATGTCATGGCCACTCCCTGCACCCAGACGCTATAGAAATGGGCCAATTAGGCCCCATTGTTATAACATAACTCTGTCAGAGACCAGGTCGAGACGAGGGGATGTCTCCGTGGTGGAGGGCTTCAGCCTCAGTGACTTATGCCAGGAGCGCTGTGCCAAGTAACACATCCGTGCCCTAACTTACTAAACTGGCAACCAGAACTGAAGGGGGGTAATGTCAGGGACGCGTCCGGGGTGGAGGGGGCCCAGCTGTAGCGCCCGGTGGAGGGACCCTCTCAGGGGACGAAGCGGGCGCACATACTGACGGGCCCGATCTGGGACTGTAGTCCCTGGCCACTTAGACTGAAGTGGAAAACGTGAATTGTTATTAAAAGGAAGAACTACACTACTTACCTGAAGTGGAAAACGTGAGAAGAAGGTTACTTCTTCAGTTCCCACTTCAGGTACATTTATGTACATGCGGCTTGGGTCACATGACGGGTGCCACATCATCTACGGAGAGGGCCGCAGCCATCCGGGTATCCCTGCAGGGGATCCCGAGGGCGTCCGCTGCAGGTGCGCATGCTGGGCGTAGCGGGAAGTTGTCTGGGGTGTCCGAGCCGGACGGGTCAACAGTACAATGATACAAGGGAAGGTGGTCCATGTAAATAGAAAGAATAAACAGAAAGGGAGAGTGAAATAAAGGAGAAAGAGGGAAGAGGGAAGAGGGAGGAAAGGGAGGAAGGATGGGTAGCGGGGAGTGGGTGAGCAGGTGAGTGGGTGAGGTGGGCCCAGGTGGGCCCAGGTGGAACCGGGTCAGGCAGGTGTGCCCTGACAGGTAAACTCTAGTCAATTTTATTACTGAGGTGTAACCTATGTACAAGTTGAGTATATATATAGTTACAATGAGGGTGGGCCCGCAAATGGCAGAGCCAAGCGGAGCAGAGCTAATGGGGTTAGACATCAGCCAATTGAATATTACCAACAAGTCGGGTTACAGGGTTAACAGAACGGTAGGCAATAACCCAGAAATGGAAAGGAGGGATAGGCCCGAAGGTAGGCTTGCAAGGCAAGTGAGTGTATTGCCCAGTGGAGGCAGGAGTGTGCTAGCGGACATTGGAGCTGTCCGGAAGCCTTCAGGGCTCCATACTTAGGGAGGTGTAGGTAATAAATTGAAAAGAGGGGGTGGTGACCATCGAGGGGTACCGAGATGATTGCGAAATACAGGAGCTCTGAGGTTAGTGAAGAAGGAGCAGAGGTAGACCGGAGGGATCGGAGGGAGTCGAAGTCAATGGCCAGGGATGGATATGACAAACTCCACCAAATCCCCACTGATTGGGATGATCTTGACATTGATGGATTCATAGGAATTAGGGGTATTTTTAGGTACTAAGTTTGTATCGATTTATGGAACAAATGGAGATGATTTTTGAATGCTGAGAATGGAGATCCGAGCCAGCTCTGCATGTGGGCGATTATACCACCTACAACATCTGTACATGGCAAGCAAACTGTTATCTCACTCCACAGCAGATTCGTTGACTGAACAAAGGTTAAAAGAAAATGAAGGGATGCTTACTGTGGATGCTCGTTCACTTGGTGGTTGTTTTGAAAGAAAGTATGCGACAAGACAGTGTCCAAAACGCTCCATTCTGAAGTCTGCTGGATCGTTCAAGGTATGGGACTTGTACTGTGGATGATAAAAAATTGCTCGACTCTGGAGTGTTACTCAATAACTCTATTGTACAGTCTGCAATGGAGGAGTGGGAGGAGGCACCAATCATTACAGCTTCCAACATGGTCAAAGATGCTTTGAACGATGTGGCGGTTTGCTCCTTCGCCACCCGATGTGGATTGGGGATTCATACTTTCCATGCTATATGTTACAAAAATGGGGCCGGAGGCGCCCATTTTCGTCTGTTCTTGGCACAGGAAAGTGGAAAGTGGAGGTGAGGTGTTTCATTAGGTTTTACAAGTGGTTTCACAGATGTTGTAACATGAGGTTTAACAGATGTTAGCACATTACAAATCATGTGATATGGCTGTGCACAGAGCCCATAAGAGTCTAAAATGGGAAATTCCCATTTCCATAACACTATAGATCACCACAAAGGCATTCGCATCACCGACAATGAATTGAGAGACAAACTGTGGGACCTCACCTCAGAAGCGAACATGAACTATAGCCTCAGGTGTCTGCCTCTGCTGCCTGACATGCCTGTAATGATATGTGACAATTTGGATGTGCAAGGGGGCATCATCAATGGCAGTCACAGCATTCTGAGACATGTGCAGTACATGGAAGATGAAGAAGGACTGCGATATGCTACTAGTGCAGTCGTTAGCATTCCAGACTCTTCTCCTGACACCTTCGCAGATCTCCCTCCACATGATTGTGTGATACTGCAAAAACCGTCAGCTATGAAAGTCATCCACCCCATCACGAATCAGTCGTTTACTGTCAAACGAATGCAGCTGCCATTGCTACTGCATTCGCTCTCACAGACTACAAGGCCCAAGGTCTTATGCTCCCCAAAGTGATCATGGACCTTGAAAGTGCTAGGAGTTGTCAATCAGCTTACATTATGTTGTCTCATGCTACTGCATTGTCGAATTTGCTCATCCTCCATCCTTTCAGCCAGAGACGGATCACAACCCATATGAATGGTGACCTCCGAAAAGAACTCAGACGGCTGGATTTGTTAGAATGTGACACCATCTTACGAACTTCATCCCAACAATTCCGCCATCATGAAGCATCGTTGAAGAAGCAATGGCTGTCAGATGTGGCTGAAACTCAAGGTAGGATCCAGGTGTGGTGAGTACAGGGCCCAGGCTGGCATTGATTCCCCTGTCCCATTCTGCATAGCCACTCTCAATGCGTGATCCCAACACAGCTTAGCTGACTGGCATGAGTCAGATGGTCTGTCTCAGAAAAGGGTCTGTCATTCCTGACCCAACAAATCCAGAGCTGTCTGGACAGTACATCAAATTGCACTGATATCAACTGATCTCACCATGTTGATTGCACATGCCCCTGCACTAGGTAATCACGCGCCATCACACCATATCATCTGTCTTTTGCTGTAACCTCTGACTGCATTTCCCCTGGGTGTCTCATGATTCAGATCCCTCCAGCAACCTCACTTGGGTTCCCAGCTCTACACTCCACTGTATCATCCATCTCCCACATAAAAGTGCCCACTCGAGCCCTGTCCCAGACAATTCCGCATCCTATCCTGCCTCTCCCTCCCTTCTTTGTTTTCAATGGATCCTAGTGTCAAACAACGTCTTCTCAACCACTGTGATGACCCTAACTGGGTAGGTAATGTTACTCCTGACAACGTCTCTTACCATAGCCAAGCCTCTGCCAACAGCCAATCTATTTGCGGCTCCTGGATGAGTGTAAGCGATTGCTCCACAGTCACCAACATCGCTTTGTTTGGTATCATCACGAAAGCTGAGCTGTCCGAATATGGAAACCAGTACACGGTGCCGTTCAATAGTTGGAAGGAGCAAGGTGTAAGTGCTTCTGTCATTACTCATTCCTTGCTGGCTTATGACACCCACAGTGATGTTGTAGTGTATCAAAGTGAATTTGACCAAGTTTCAGATTCATCTCAGTCTTCCTCTCAGTGCTCTGGCAAGTTTGAAGAAGAGGTTTGCGGACCAACTCGTTGCCCTCAACCATCTCAAAAATGCATCCACACTCGGCCACCTTGTCGAAGGTGTCATATCCATCCACAGCCATCGACTTCCAATCTCTCTGGACTACCTCCGCTCCTTCTTCACTAACTTCAGAGCTCCCGTATCCTGCAATCACCTCTGCTTCCCTCGATGGTCACCACCCCCTCTTTTCAATATATTACCTACACCTCCCTAAGTACGGAGCCCCAAAGGCTTCTGGACAGCTCCAACGTCCGCTAGTGCACTCCTGCCTCTGCTGGGCAATTCACTCGCTTGCCCTGCAAACCCACCTTCAGGCCTATCCCTCCTTTCCATTTCTGGGTTATTGCCTACCATTCCGCTAACCCCGTAACCCGACTTGTCGGTAATATTCAATCGGCTAATGTTTAACTCCGTTAGCTCTGCTCTGCTTGGCCCCACCATTTATGGGCCCGCCCTCACTGTAACTATATATACTCAACTTGTACATAGGTTACACCTCAGTAATAAAATCGACTAGAGTTGATCCCCCTTAGTTCTCGTTGCCAATAAGTAAATTAGGGCATGGACGTGTAACTTGGCACTGTTAGATCGTGCGGATTCGGATGACTCCGGAGTGGAATCGGAGACTTAGCATGGAAGGACCTTGGCCTCAGCGACTCATGCGGAGTGCTGTGCCATTGCTGGTTGTCCTAGGGGTCCCTAATTTCAGATCTAGCAAAGGAAAGTCTCTTGGGGGGAAATCAAGTCGATTTCAGACTGAGGTTACAAGTTACTATGTACATTGTATATAAGGAGGGGTCTGGAATCAAAAGGAGCAAGGGTACTCTGAAAGCAGACAAAGGGAGCTGGAATGAGGAACAACACCGAGGGTCAAGGGTTTGACTCAATGGTGTTTCCCAAAGGAGGAGTGAAGGAGGATGGGAGTGGGGAATGGCCAGCTGACTGAATAGAAAGGAAGCAGCAGCCCAAATAGGATGAGGGAGTATAGCGGAATTGAATGGAGCAATGCAATAGTTGCAAGGTCCGAAGTAAGTCCGGAAAGTCCGGACTCGGAAGTTAAACTCCGGAATATTGGCAAAAGCAATTAAATGGAATGAGCTAACCAATACAATGGGTATAAGTGGAGGTGGGGTCAAAGTCCAAGGTCGGAGCTAAGACCGGAGGTTCCGGAGACAGGGATGCAAACGGGATTCCGGAGCAGAAGTCCGGAGTTGGGAGCATAGGTGTTGCATACTTGTCTGGAAGGTGTCGAGGTTGGGGTCGGACCCGGAATGTTCCGGAGTCGGACCGAAGGTGGTGTCAGAGCCGGAGGTGGGATAACCTCTTGGAAGTCAGCAAGGAGAAGGTGATGGAAGGGAAGTAGGACTCCAGAAGTCAGTTTCGGAGTTCCAGGAGCCCGGAGCAGAGGTCGGGATTGTATGGATATGACAGGCACAGTGCTCCTGGCTTGAGTCACTGAGGCCGAAGCCCTCCACCACAGAGACACTCCTTTGTCTCGATCCAGTCTCTGACAGAAGGTATGTATTCTCTCAGTCATCTGGGTTTCCAACACCACTCAGAGCCCGGTCCAGACACCACCATTGAGAGTCATGACCATGAGCATGGGTTTGTGTACTTGGACAACCATAACTTGCTGTTTCTATGTCTCACCCATGCAATGTTCAAAGAGGTTCGATCTCAGTCAGTGAAAGAGTGCCCCAAATTAATCTGATGGATATGTTTCAAAGTACGCTGCCAGAGTCTCCTAAAGGGTTGTGGTCTGTAAGGCTGACTGGCACAGACCCACCTGCTACAGCCGAAGGTTCTTCTGATCATGACCCAACTCCCACTATCTTCAACCATCCTGAGTGGGACCCGGAAGGGCATTTTCGTTGTGCCATCCCATTTCTCACAAGCCAAAAAGAATTCCAATATGTGGTCAACCTCAGTGCATATGACTCTCAGGGTGCACCAATAGAACGTGAGGGTCTGCAAATGTCATTGGTTGAGGGGATGGCGATCATGGGAAGTGTGACCTTACATTTGTAAGCTGCATTTGTTTTCTTCACAACTCTGAGTGCCATTGTGGACTGCTCTCTGGCTTATGTGTTTAGTTCTCGTGCTCCAAATACCGGTTGTGGGGATATACGTTCTTTCCAGTTACATTAGAGTGCGATTTAGATTGTAGGCCCTATGCAACTTGTACCGAAGGTTGAGTCTCTTGGGGCTAGCATAAGTCTTAAATGTGCAGTGGAGGAAGAGCTTCAGGCTCCCCATGCGAAGAGAGGACCATTCTTTGGCCCAGCAAAAGATGTGAAGATGGAGGCATCTGCACCAAAGAAAGATGTGAAAGGGAAAGGAAAAGAATGGGAGGAAGAGTCAGGGCAGTAAGTGTGTCTCCATGGTCAGGTTCGCTCATTTCTGATTCAGACACGCTAGTGCTATCCTCTAGGGTTCATCATTGAGTCTGTGCTGTTTGGATTGCCATTGGCATTTGGATTGCTTGTCTGCTGGGCACTTGGCTTGTACTGGTATTTCTTCTCTGCCCACCTGTATCTGTTTGTGTTGTGCAGTTGGTTTGAATGGTCAATGTTTGTGCTCTAGGTGTGTTGCCACCTTTCTGTCATATCCATCCCCAGCCATCGACTTCCACTCCCTCTGATCCCTCCGGTCTACCTCTGCTCCTTCTTCACTAACCTCGGAGCTCCCATATTCCGCAATCACCTCGGTACCCCTCGATGGTCACCACCCCCTCTTTTCAATATATTACCTATGCCTCCCTAAGTATGGAGCCCTGAAGGCTTCCAGACAGCTCCGACGTTGCAAGAGGGCTCGCGGCTCTCTATGCCGACTAAGCTCATGGGGCCAAACTCTCCAAAATCCTACTTTCTTGACTAAACTCACTATTCTCTCGATCCTTAACTCTGTGGTGGGTTCTCCGGGATTTCCGCAAGGTCCGGGCTCAGTGTCCACTACTCACTCGTTGTGAGTTAGATCACTGCCCTTATTCCTACTGTTGGAATCCACTCACTCACACCCACTCTAGCGTGTCCTAGCACCTTAGAGAAAATTGGGGGAGGGGAGAACTTCTTTTCAAAAATCTGGTATGTACAGGATTATAAGAAATAATTATTTTTAGAAATAATAGATGATCAATCAATAACTGAAATGATGGCAAAATATGAAAATAAAAGAAAATAAGCGATATCTCAATGGATTTGCGGAATTAAGAGCCTAAATTAGAAATGTAGCCGGAGATAACTCTCACGCAGCCAATCAGCATTTTTACCAATTTATTAGACGCCGTGGGAACGAGTGAGGCTGGAATTCTGGGTTGCTGCTTGAGATTCCCACGCCTGCACATGCCCGTGACCTGCTGTGCCTAACTTGCCCAACATTGAACTCCGTCAATTCTCCACTGATTGGGACGTTCTTGATATCGTCAGAATCGTACGAATTAGGACTATTTTTAGATACCGAATCCGTATCGAGTTGTCACATGAATGGAAGGGGTTTTCTAATCATAGAAGCGGGTATCTGAGCCGGCTCTGCGCATGGGCGATTATCCCGCCTACAACGTCCACTAGTGCACTCCCACCTCCACTGGGCAATACACTCGCTTGCCCTGCAAGCCCACCTTCGGGCCTATCCCTCCTTTCCGTTTCTGGGTTATCGCCTACCATTCTGCTAACCCTGTAACCTGACTTGTCGGTAATATTCAATCAGCTAATGTTTAAACCCCATTAGCTCCGCTCCACTCGGCTCCACCATTTGCGGGCCTGCCCTCATTGTAACTATATATACTCAACTTGTACATAGGTTACACCTCAGTAATAAAATCGACTAGAGTTTACCCCCCTTCAGTTCTGGTTGCCAGTTTAGTAAGTTAGGGCACAGACATGTTACTTGGCACAGCGCTCCTGGCATAAGTCGCTGAGGCCGAAGCCCTCTGCCATGGAGACATTCCCTCATCTCGACCTGGTCTCTGACAGCCTGGCCCGGACCCCGGAAACGATATCCCCAAACGTGGAAAAGCTACTCAGTCTAGAAACCAGCCTGGCTCAGGAGGACCTTACCCAGAGTTGGAGCACGTATCTGCGCAAGGACCCAGCGAAAGGAGCCTTTGTGGTTACCAGGGCATGGTCTAATGCTGTAGACAAGTTAGACCTATTGTGTAGCACAGATATCATGGATGAAGATCAAGAGGAAAAGAGCATGACAAGCTTATGGTTGGGTTTAGCCCCAAGAACAGCCAAGGAATTCCATCTGGCCTACTACACAGACGAGGAATTTGGGGACATATACCACAAAACCCTTAACGGTGGTGTAGCAGGAGGTGCCTACCAGTGTCGGAGGAGGGGTTGCTACTTTGGGATGACCCGCAAACCCAGACTCCTTCCCAGTTGCTCACATGATTTCTCCGAGGTTTAGCCGCAACTTACATTGCCTCCGAAATCTGTCGAGCGACTGGTACAACTTGCAACATGTGATGTTCCCACGCTAAGTTGTAATGAGTTGTACATAGGTAACGGAATATCATTTTTAGTATTTACGCATGCGGTCATTGTACCCAACCCAACCCGTGGAGACTAAGGGAGCACATCCAAGGCTGTGAAGTTAATATCCAGGTGTGCGCGAAGTTTAACAGTTTATATATTACTTAGTTGCCAGTCACTTGTTTGTGCCTGGTGGCATAAGTGGTATAGTGCTAGCTGAGGCTATGCAGTTTTTTAAGTGGCATATGTTTGATTCTCACTCAGGAAACTTTTTTTTTTTCATACCCTCCACTCCTTAGTGCACAGAAAACAACCATTTCACACAATTATTCCATGGGAGGGCCCAAAAAAAGTTTTCCTAAGTGAGAATCGAACATGTGCCACTTAAAAAAACTGCATAGCCTCAGCTAGCGCTATACCACTTATGCCACCAGGCACAAACAAGTGACTGGCAACTAAGTAATATATAAACTGTTAAACTTTGTGCACACCCGGATATTAACTTCACAGCCTTGGATGTGCTCCCTTAGTCTCCACAGGTTGGGTTGGGTACAATGACCGCATGCGTAAATACTAAAAATTATATTCCGTAACCTATGTACAACTCATTACAACTTAGCGTGGGAACATCACGTGTTGCAAGTTGTACCAGTCGCTCGACAGATTTTGGAGGCAATGTAAGTTGCAGCTAAACCTCAGAGAAATCATGTGAGCAACTGGGAAGGAGTCTGCCGCAAACCAACCGACACCTATGTGTCCCGAGAAGTCTGAGGACCACGATCCTCAAGGAAATTCATGACACCCCTCACAAGGCTGCTCAAGCACCTGAAATCTAAGTGTTATTGGAAGGACCTTGGAAAGGATACTCGACAGTATGTGGGAACTTGCAACATCTGCCAGAAGATCAAGCATGACAGAGGCAAAATGCCGGGTCTGCTGAAGCCCTTGCCTGTCCCAGACTTGCCATACCACACAATAACCTTGGATTTCGTGACGGGATTACCCCCTCCTAAAGGAACCACACAGCCAGACACCATCTTGGTAGTGGTAGACAAGTTCATGAGATATGGGCATTTTATCCCATGCTCCTCCACCACAGACACGATGGGTGCTGCAGACTTATTATGGTGCCATGTGATTAAACATGTGGGGTTGCCTGCAGTGATAGTCAGCAACTGGGACCCTCATTTTCTCTCGATGTTCTGGTCATCCTTAGCGCATCACTTTAACACTAAGCTGGCGATGTCTTCAGCTGTGCACCTGCAAATGGACAGACAGACGGAGATAATGAACCAGCAATTGGAAGTCATGTTACGAGCTTATGTCAATAAGGACAGGGACAACTGGCATGAATTCTTGGACATTCTGATGTTAGCGTTGTAGGAGAAATAACGGCCACACTATGGAAACCCATTATGAAAATATGCCAGATAAATCACAAAACCTCATACGACAAGTAGATATGAGAACATAGAAGGACCTGAATTTTAACGAATTTTACGAATTTTTACGAATTATTACGACTATACACGATAAATCGAAAGAAAGAAAAATAACAAAAATACTTCAAGCTTACCATCAACGAGACGGAATTCTCGGGGGAATTTATAGCAAATATTAAACCAAGAATTAGGACAATCGACCAAGATTTGACTATAAAAATAATCAGAGAACCTCCACGGAAACTACTTTCCCACGTCCGCACACATAGCAAGGATGGAAGTACCACGGAACAAAGATTCTTCAGGAACTAATGCAAAAGTCAAAGTCGTGTTTATAATAGGAAATGTAGATGTCACCCAAACGGAACCAATGAGAGTAATTATAGGGGAAACTACCCATAAACGACGGAGATATGACTAAAACTCCTGCAAAACGAGGACAATGTCTAAAAAGCAAGCGCGAAGATTAACTAGTAACGACCGAGACAAGCTTGATAGCCCATTAGAAAGGAAAGGATCTACTCTTAATCCTCCCAAATTTCCATAATAAAAGGATCATGCGTTAATGAGAAATCCAATAACGGGAATAGCGACATCAAAAGTCCGAGCTCAGGGACAAGACGATGATTGCGTAGGATCCATAATTAAAACATACAACGAAATTTACACGGAAATTATGAAAAATAGGAAACTATAGTTATGCAAATTCTCAGCCCAAACGGTCCAGCCGTTGTGAAGTTATACCCATGACGGGAATATAGGAATCCGCATCATGTGTAATGACACGTGAGGGTGGCGATGCGCAGGGAACCGGCCGTCGGAACCGAGATCCGCACTTCGGCAGATCGCGAAGACCAATTTCCGTCCAAATAAGGAAGAGCCCGGTCAAAACAAAGCACGAAAGGTGCAAAACAACCTTAGATCATGAGGGAAAAATCTGAAATAAATCACAGAAGCCCATATGAAAGAAATAAACACCCGCGCATATCATAAATCCCGAACAACTAAACGAAAACGGCTCCCGCATACGAACAACTATGGGAACGACGCACGTGATTACCGAATGTGCGCGCGAAACTTTGCTAACTCAACGAATACAGGGAAATAGGACACAACCTTAGTACCATTGGAAAGGTGGGAATAAATGGAAATTTATGATACCAAGAACGTGAGAAAACATCCAGAAATGAATGAGATACAAGGACATGAAGTTAGAAACCTGAAAACACGCGGGAAGACAGCTTCAAGAGGTCTAGAGCCCTAAATAAAATACATAAAAATATGATATCTTCGAGGACGACCTACTATAACAACGAACAATACATATGGAGGATTAGGATGTGATAATACAAAAGGGAATCAGGGAATATGAACGAAATTCACGAAAACTACTAAACTACGACGGACCATGGCGGGAATTTTAGGGAACGATGTTCTAATAAAGTAGAGAGCTATAACACATTCGTTTGAGTAATTCTTGATTACTAGCAACTTTTTCTTTCAGTTTTAAACCT